CACAAAAATCTAGCAGCCTCCTACCGTTGTTATTGAGCTGATCTAGCTCATGCCTTCCAATCACTCCAGACCAGGTGCCAGCATCATGACCAACTCGGGCATTGAAGTCACCCAACAAGATTACTCTATCCCGAGGGGCCACTTTAGCCAGCACCTGTGACAGGAGGTCATCGAAGGCATCTGACTCATCGGCCTTGCCTGCATCCCTCCATGGATGTTCGTCTTCGGTGGGGGCATAAGTAACCATGACCACCACTCCTCGCCTCCGGTTGATGGGAAGGCGAGCCCAAATAGCCTGGGGCTTACAGCTTCCCACACCTCACCGCCACGCTCCCCCCCCCCCCTTCATTCTCTTGTTCAGAAGAAGAGCCACACCCTGTTGTTTGGCAGTCTCCTGCCCCGAGTAGAGGACTGTCCACCCCTCATGGTGGCAGGAGCTAGAGACGGTCCACCGGACCTCCTGAATGCCACAGAGATCCAGGCGGTACCGGTCCAGCTCCCGACAGAGGAGTGGCAGCCTCTCTTCCGCAGTGAGCATTCGAACATTCCACGTGGCCATCCGTAGTGGCTTTTCGTTGCGGTGCCGGACGGGCAACACTGTCGTGGACAGTGCTGGGGGGGGGGGGGGGGGGGGGGGAGGGCCAATCCTCACCCCTCATGGCGTCTGTGACCACCACAGTGGCTAAATGGGTTCTCTGGACGGGTGAGAGTGGCTGGTAATCCCTCCAACTTCAATAAATTACCACTAAACCACGACTGTTTTTTTTTAAACCTACTGTGGACACACACACACACGTGTGACGTCACGATGCGGGGGAGCGTCACACACACATGACGCCATCCTGTCTGGAGGCGGGAATGACGTCACGGCCGGTTCAGGGGATCTGAAGGCTGTAGGTGAGGGCCACGGGGTTTGAGGCCGTGGCACTCGGAGTGAACCCGGCTGGACACGTGACCGGATCAACGTGGGGGCCGGGGGCCCGGGGCCAACTTGGGGGGCCACGTGGACAGCAAAGGAGCTTCTCGTGACACTTTTTTTGCTGATTGGCCGTGTCGGGTGGTGGAGGGTTACGACACATTTATAAATAAACGTGATCTAACCCAAAAACCTTTATTATGAATAATATTGGTCGCGAAAGCCTACGTGTTAAACTGACTAACCTCTATGGGGAGGATACTTTTCTTAAAACCAGAAAATTGGAGAAGCTTCGCATTAAGCGGATGAAATTGATATCTTCACTGGCGTTCCTCAAAAGGTGCAGAGATTCAAAGGCAATACCAAACGCAGTTAAAATAACACATCACATAAAGTCTTCTAACGCTAACCAAATACTACACAAAGCTAGCGAATTATTATTAATAGAGAGAATACAGCACAATAGGAGTGAATTATCTTACATTTCCGAATCGCTAAAGCAGTTACACTTAGATATAAGCAATAGTGTATCTATGCATTATTGGAATATAATCGATAACATAACACAACAATCGGCTGATAATGTGTTTAAACTAACAAAAACTAACCAAATTAATAAATTTTCTAGACTACATAATAAACAAATCCCTACTGAAAACCAAAAATGTAAAAACAAAACTGTACTGAACTTGACCAACACTGTATTAACCGGTGACATGGTCTCTATCCTTTCTAAAGGCCTTAACTTTGCCGTTACCCCACGCACAATTCCAGTGGATGAGATAATTGCTGAGGTAGAATCAGCAGTTAGACTCCTTCCACATAATAAGGCAGAGATGACTAGACATGAGGTTGCTAAAATAATTGAGAATAGCAAAGTTCCAAAAGTAAATATTAGCTCTAACGAGGCAAAAACCTTAAGAGAGCTGCGTGTAAATAAGGATATCCAAATCCTAGCAGCTGATAAAGGCCGCACTACTGTAGTGATGTCACGAGCCGATTATGATAATAAAATTAGAAATTTACTAGAGGAAAGTACCTACATTAAAATTAAACGAGATCCAACTAATACTTTAGAACGTAAGACCACTGCAATAATTGCAAATTCATTAATCCCTAAAAATGAGCAATACCTAATTAAGCCAAGGGCCTCAAAACCACCTAGACTCTATGGGCTACCAAAGATTCATAAAATCGGCATCCCATTACGACCCATAGCCAGTACAATTGGCTCTGCCACATATTAATTAGCAAAATATATAACCAAACAAATACAGTCCTACATCGGTAAGACATCTTCATTCATAAAAAAATTCAGAACATCTTGTGAATGTGATTAAAGATATTAAACTTACTCCTGATGATATTCTGGTAAGTTTTGATGTGATTTCTCTATTCACTAAGGTTCCAGTGGACGAATCGCTTAAATTACTTGATACACTGTAAAGAATACCGGTTTACAAAAAGATATTCCGAAACTTGCTGCCCATTGTTTAAATAACACTTACTTCTTATGGAGAGGGGATTTCTTTAAACAAAAGGAAGGAGCAGCAATGGGTTCTCCTTTATCCCCTGCTATAGCAAATTTGTACATGGAAAACTTTGAAATAAGAGCACTTGCCTCGAGCACATTAAAACCATCCTTTTGGTTTAGGTATGTGGATGACACTTTGGTTGTCTGGCCACATGGTAAAGATAGACTTAATGATTTTCTAAATCATCTCAATGCACGAAACCCGGCCATCCAGTTCACCATGGAAATGGAGGTGAATAACACACTCCCATTCCTAGATATTTTGCTTGGACATGGCCTAAACGGTAAAATAACACACAGCGTTTACAGAAAGCAAACGCACACTGATGCCTATCTGAATGCAGAATCACATCATCATCCAGCTCAGAAATCCTCTCTTATCAAGACGCTCGTACATCGGGCCAAAACAGTGTCAGATGGTGAGAGTCTAGTGAGAGAGATTAAACACGTTAAAGACGCACTACGACAGAATGGCTACAATAATGCTCAAATTAACAGAGCACTGAATGCCAAATCACGATCGCAAAGCAATACTACTGAAAGCGACCAGATTGTTAAAACAATAAAAATTCCATATATCTCAGGAGTAACTGACAAATTAGCCCGTGTTCTGCAAAAGCAAAACATTACAGTAAGATTTGGTACAGTACACAAAATTCAAAAACTAGTATCTTGCACTAAAGATGCATTACCTAAACTATCAACAGAAGGTGTATATCGGATTAATTGTTCATGTGGCAGCTGCTACATTGGGCAGACGGGACGTAACATCAGCGTAAGACTAAAAGAACATCAGAGAAATATTAAATTATCTCAAACACAACTGTCGGCAGTGGCAGAACATGCTTGTCAACAAGGACACTCTATTGATTTTGACAATGTTGCAGTGGTGTGTAAAACTAATTATTACTGGCAAAGACTAATTAGAGAATCCATTGAAATTGAGAGGAACAAGAATAACTTTAATCGCTCTGACAGCTACCGGCTTAGTGCGGCCTGGAAGCGTATTATTAAATAATACACATTACATTTAAAGAATTACTAATCTACAACTCATTACTAATCATAACCAATGACTGATTACTAATCGATTATATAATTACAATACCCCCCCCTCCGCCTCTAATCACTGCACCTGATATGAGTTAAGTGATGACGTCACCCTGCTGCTCTATATAAAAACCGGGAGCAAGCGAGGGCTTTACCATTCTGGCGAATTGCTTGATGATGCTGGATGTATTTACCAGCGAAACGTCGTACTCAAACTGTAAATGTGGATTAACTCTTCAACACACCGGTGGGCTGAAGTAGTGAATTATTTGTCTTTTGTCAACGTGACACTTTTTTTGCTGATTGGCCGTGTCGGGTGGTGGAGGGTTACGACACATTTAAATAAACGCGATCTAACCCAAAAACCTTTATTATGAATAATATTGGTCGCGAAAGCCTACATGTGTTCGTGAATGTTTTAATATTTTAGGCCAGAAATTAGTTTTCAGATTTCGATTTTTTTCTGGGGGAGACCCCCAGACCCCCTGGAAGATTTGGTCCCCCCCAATGTTGACTGCATGGCTACGGCTTTGCCCTACGCTGCCAATAATGGGTCCACGGTGCCAGGCATGGGCCCACGGCACCAATAATAGTCTCACGCTCCAATTATGAGCCTATGGCGCCAATCATGGGCCCAGGTGAAGAACAATCTTGATTTTCAGCTGCTTGGTAATTAACTTTGATCAAGAACACAAAGGACATTTTATCCACTGAAAACAGCACCAACCCGTGTGTTTTTACACATTTGATTAAAATGTTGACATTGAAGTCCAATAGAAAGAAAGGTCATTGCAGTAGTTCAGCAAACAGTGCCATGTTAGGCGGCCACGAGGTAGTGCTCCTGCTAGCCCGTGTGCAAAGGTTTCACCGTTTGAATCCATTGGCCACCCTGATTAATACTGCAGGTGTATTCAGCACAAACATAATCTGCACCCGTATACTTCGCATTAGAGGTTAAGGATCCCTCAACGTCATTCGCAAGAGTAGGCCGTTGTGTGCTGGCGTCACGGTTCAAAATTTTCCAACTTTAAAAAAAAATACCCACTTATTACTCAAAGGAATCTATTTCAAAATAATCGACCCCCCCTCCCACTGTGAAAACTGGACAGAACCCACATGTAAAAAAGTCATGAGTGATGCTTTCTACTGAGGGTCCCCTAGGCTAGACATCTGTGAAAATACTGTACATCTGTAAACAAAAAGAGCTTAATAGCTCATCGAATTTTTCCTGGATAAATAAAGATCCTGATTCTGGAATGGTTCATATGTGATAACAAGGTGCTGGTAGATGCTGAGGTATTTAAGCAAGTGCCCTATACATTCAAATGCTCGTCCTTAAGTTGGCGTGAAACAACATTCACACTAAACGCATAATAAAACAACATTTAATCACGACTGTTAAAACTTTGTCTGATTTTTAAAAAAAATGAAATTTCCGGCCAGTCCATTCGGTGCTAAACTGGTGCGCGATGATGCCAATGCAGATGAATGCCGGGCAGCCCGAGTGTGTGTGGGGCGTGTTGCACATTGTGCCTGCCAGGCCACATCTTTACACGGCAGCCACTCTGCCTTCCTGCCTGCGTGGGTGGCCTCACAATGGGGTTTGTTTCCCTTCTGTGGTGTCCAGTGATATTGCCAGGCAACCGTCATATTTCTGTAAAGTCTGTAGTAAATGGTTTTGCTTTGAGCCTTTCGAACAGCAGATATATAAGTTATCCATGTACAAAAAAACGACAGTATGTAATACATGGTTCTTTATACATTTTTGTGAATTAATTTTGTTGTTATTGTTCACCAAGGCCTGATAGTTTTGCGGTAGAATGCACCTTCATTCTTATGTAACACAGCATTAGACGATAGTGCTTTAGCGTTGGGCGCTATTGTTTCCTTGCGGCGCGTGCAAACATACACCTTGTTTGGCCACGGTGCTGGGCTCTGAGTGGGTAATAAGAGGTGAAAGGTGATGATGAAATGCGACCACGCCTCGTACCTGTCGAACACCTGCGTCTGTTACTGACAGTTCTGAATACGCGTCCGTTATAACCACACGTGCGAGCTGGACACCATCGAACCTATACATTACATTGTACATTCAGAGCAGGTAAGGACACATCCTCTTACTGCAAACGGATTTTATGAATGTGTGAAGTGATCGCATTTGTCGTGTGCGGCTGCCGGATTCACATCAATGCTGTATAATGACTGCGGAAAATGGACGGTTATAAAGCGCTCTTAAAAGGCTATCTGGTGGTAAGTGCTGCTGCTGCTACTACTACTGCAGTTGCCCTCATGCCATGTTGGTCATGGGGTTTAATTGACCACCAGTCTTCCATGCGCTGGTGAGCGTGGGTTGGTGAAGGTGGCGGGGCGACAACCGGTTTGGACATCACTCGCCACCGATGTGAGCCGTGAGATCGGTGGTGGCCACTTTTAATGTACGTTATTAATGAAGTATTTTTGTAATGTTATACAAGTACTGTAATTTGAACCATTGCACCTTTGGCTTAGTTACCATTGTGCACTGCTCATACCTTCTTGCCACTTACCTTTATCGCATTTCAGAAAGCGTACACATGTTTTTGAATGCCTAAGAGTATACACAGGCAGTCGTCGACTTACGAACACCCGACTTACGAACATCCGTACTTACGAGCCAGCTTCCATGAACTATTAAAACAAATTAACATTGACTTTAAAACGCGAACTCGCAATTTCAAGCTGAACCGTGAAACTAATTTGTTCAGAGGAGCGGTCCTCGACGAGAGATGCGATGAGTCGACCTCTCGCCGTGAGTGAATGTTTGTGCATGTGTGTGAAAGTTTGAGTGGGCGCTTCGAAAGCGGCTACCCGACTTCGCCGCTTGCTCACGGCCAACACCAAGTACCTGGTGTGGTGTGTAAACATCGCCCCTGGGGAGACAAAGGCGGCCGGGCGTGGTGTTGGCCACCCCCTCGTGTGCCGTGCCGGCCTTAAGTGCTACTCGTTAACAGCACTTGCTCCTCCAGTGGTAGTGCAATGGTTAGCGTGCTGTGCTACCAACCTGGCCACCAAAGTCAAATTCCCGCTCACGATCGACACCGGTGACGATTATCTGAATTGAACCTGGGCCTCGCCGAGGTCGACTCAGCCTCAAATGATTACCTGGTGCGGTGTGTAAACATCGCCACTGGGGGAGACAAAGGCGGCCGGGCGTGGCGCTGGCACGCTCACTCTCTCGTGTGCCGTGCCGGCCTTCCCCGGCGCTGCTCGCTAACAGCCCTTGCACCAACAGTATGTTGAGGTTAGGGTGTGTGTGTATCTCTGTTTGCGCGCACGTGCTCCAGTGCGTGTGTCTGTGTGCTCGCACATCTTATCTTAAAACTAGCCTTTTGCCCATCCAAGGATGGGTGTATTGCAGTAAATCTGAAACTTGCAAGCGAAAAGCAGACCGCGACGTGATATTCATTGCATCAATTCATCTGCAATTTGTAAGGGCGCGGTGACACAGACCTATTTCATTTAAAGGTTATAATCCCTTGTTCATAATGACGTCCTTTTTACTTTGATGTCTCAACAACAGCGTCCCGGAGATCGCGTGACGTGAGGGTTCTGCCTTTGTAGTGAGGGTTGTAAGTTGACGCCGAGGAGAGGGGAGGAGGCGCCAAGGCCCAGAGGCGGAGCCAGGATTTTCAGGTGGGGGGCAAACCCTCCAGCAATGAAAAATGATAGGAGTTGTTAGTAAGTAAGGACTTGTCCCTTGCTTTTTATTCGCTGCGTGTGCAGCGATGGCGTATGGCCTGGAAGTCGAATTCGAACCGTGCTGTGTGATCGACATCGCGCTCGCTGAAGGTGTTGATGCCTTCAGGGAAGTCGTGTACTGTATACGCAACTGCGCACAATTCTGAGTCGCTTCTAACTGCTTTGCCGTTACTTATTGCCAATTATGGACTCAGACTATTGTCCTATCATCTCATAGAGTCGCTGGCACATAATAATACAGTATGCTACACAGTGGCAGTGGGGGTCGCATAATGCCGATTTGTTACTAATAAACCCCAATGATCTGATCGAGATTAGGGATTTTGGCCCCCCGTGTGGAGTGACTTCAGGCCGCTAATTATTAAGAAAGTAGTAAATTGGTGTCCATTATTAATGAGGGGGGCTGATCGATGTGGAGTCTCGTCACCTGCTCATGATTATTAATGAGGGGGGTCCATGTGGAGGACGTAACCTTGATTTAAAGCTTTCGTGACTGTAGGAATTCATATTCTTTGGGTTTTTCGGTAATGTCACATAGATAGGTTGAAAGAAAATAACAAACAAACAATAAACAACCTATCCGCGTGACTTTACCGAAAGACCCAAAGCATAGGACGTAACCTGTTCATCTTCTTTGTGTCTTTCGGTAAAGTCACATAGATAGGTTGAAAGAAAATAAAAAAAACTACGACGTTTCGATCACAGCACAAGCGATCGTCATCAGGAAGAAAAAGAGTAAAACTGCTGAGGCAGACTGTTTTAAAGGTTTAGAATGGGTGTAGCCCAAGGGTCATAAACAAAGTGGGCGGGGCTAGTTATGTTAATGTGAGAGATTAGCATGTTAATGTAAGATCCGCGGACGACGTCCAAGACGGCGCTCATAGGTGGCTCTGTTAATGTGAGAGATTAGCATGTTAATGTAAGACTGCAGAGCCGCTACCGCATCGGCGCGCAAGGTGGCTGTGTTAGTGTGAGAAATTTAACCTGTTAATGTAAAATCAGAGAGCTGAAAATAACTGCTGACATAGGTAGGTAGGGAGGGAACATCACAGCCAATTATGACTTAAACTGGTTAATAACGTCCTTTCAATGATTGCTTAGTTTGTACCCATCTTCTCGGTTGAAATTGTGTCTGTGTCTATAAATATGGATGGCTTCATGAACGAATCTTTGTTGATAGCCAGTGGGCTTGCAAAGTACCTTCGTCTTGGAGAAATCAATTTCATGTGAGCCCACCGCATTAAAACAATGATCAGCTACGGCCGAGGTATTGGTCCTTCCGTGTTTCAGATCTACCGTGTTTTAGCAGATTTGAAACAGTAGTAAATAAAACATAAAATAAAGAAACATAAATCAGCATATCTGAAACACGGTAGGACCAATACCTCGGCGCTTTACACAGAATTAACAATGGTACTTATGATTGTAATGGTGGAGATGAGGTGAATGAAATAGATGAGGGGAAGCAATGGGCGAGTCTGTGATGCTTGAATTTGGTGAAAGCGAAATTTATGACACTGAATGATGATGAATGGATTGAATGAATAGGGAATGAGTGAAAGACATGTAATGAGAATATGAAGAGGGAAAAGTAACGGTGGCGATTATGAGGGGGAGATTAAGGGGTCGTGGGGTGAGCTTGGGAACAATAAGTGAGTTTTGATTGCAGAGCGGATATTAGTGAGCGAAGGTGACTTTAATGTGGAGGCAAAGTTTGTTCCAATGAAGGGCGGCAAGAACAGAAAAAGAGCGAAAGCGTATTTGTGTGTGTGTGCAATTGTGGTAACTCATTGCCCCACTTCCGACTACAAGCTAGCATCAGCACTCAAGGTAAGTGAAAAAATAAAACAGTGCTTTTCTATGTATGTTTCTTTATTTTATGTTTTATTTACTACACAGTATTTTATACAGTATTACATGCGAATGTACCATATTTCTTCTTATGAGTTTAACAATGCTCCCCGTTTTGTTGCACATTTCATAACACTCACTGTATGAGCATTTAAATACAGTGAATTAGTATGTTCTGACTTTCGAACCGTTCGACTTACGAATGGGTCTCAGGAACGAATTATGTTCTTAACCCGAGGATTGCCTGCTGCATTAATTATGCTGTGCGATGCTTTTATCAATAAAATATCTCCGTCAGTGAGGGCATCTGGATCAACATTAGTATCGCGAACCCCACGCTTCACATTGAAAATAGCAAAGAGAACTTGAATCCTAATTGGATGCAATTCGTATCTCCTGGTCGGTGATTCTCGAAATTAACTTTCTTGGAGCTGCTTTATATCTTTCGCATGATTGTTATAAACCTCAAAATGACTTTGAAAGAAAGGTGTTTGTATAGAATGTTTTTTTCATCACTTTGTTAACCACTTAATGGGCCACTACAATTTAAAAGTAATACACGATGCAAAGTCCATCATGTACATTATCTTATCTTACTTACCGAGATACACACATAGGCTGTGTCCTAGGCTGTCTAATACGAGCCTGAAACTTCGTAAGGATGAAAATTACTTTTCAGTTACTTTTATTAAGACCGATTTTGTGAATTTAGTTTGCATCATCCTCTAAGAACGTGTATCCCTACAGTAGGTGTGAGACAGTTACTTGCACCACTTACTATTTACAATCATTCTTGAACCTTTTTTTGGTATTCTTGCGTGTGGTACTGGTTCATGGTGGTGGAGCATTTGAAAACTTAGGGTACATTACACGTAAGTAAAACAAGTTAATGTAAAAAACCTGCATTACTGTATAATTCAAAGACGCACAGAAATAGTCTATTTACCATTTTTATGTATGTACTTTGAATTAGGACAACAAGCAAACTATTTGAACGATGCTGTGATGTACTGTGTGTAGTTTTGGAATAGATTTAAAGGTATTGTATCTTGTGCAGATTTGCCAGATAGCACTGCAATTTTATGGCATAGTATTAGCACAACGACATCAACGGGTGAGAGCCATCTGATTTGCTTACGTTTTGCTTGCTTTTAGATGCACAGCACAAACAGACCTTTAGGAGTCTGTGATGTCAAAGCTAAAGGACTGCAGCCGGGTGGCGCCTTCACTGGAGGTGAGCAGGCCATCCACTCCGCTGCCAGGCATTGGAGGAGAAAGCCATACGGAGCACGCTGATGGGGGCCTCAAAAAGACAAGCAGCTTCACAGGGAAGAGGAGCCGAATCACCAACGCCACCCTGCCCGAGGAGAAGGTACACGCACAGTATGGCCCCCCGAGGCACTACTTCAAGTAAAAACTCCTCTCGGATGGGATGGGGCAGGAGACATTTAGTGTTCGCTAAGGAGAAGTGACCTTGAGGTGGGCAAAAGCGACATTTGGTGGTGCAGGGCCTCATGCCAGCACCCCCTTAGCGCCAGCCAGGTGTGTATCGACACATTGTCAACATTGATACTGCGATTTAAGTTTATGACACAATAGGTGCTAATTTAGTCCATCCATGTGCAATAAGTGGCTCCGACACGGCAGAACTTTATTTAATATTTATTAAAGGTTCTTGCACAGTCACGACTCCTCTCGTTCCCGCGGATGCCGTTGCTGCTCTCCGGCGTGACTGCGCTTGCCCCGCGCCACGTGGCGCTCACCCCGCTCTCCACCGCACCGCTGACTGGCGGCGCGCTGGGGAGCGGCCGAGCGGCTGGAGGTCGAGCCGCCACGTGGCTGGTGGAGATGGCGGGGCAGCAGCGACGGGGAGCGCCTCTTTGATCTTCAACCACCGACCCCGAGCCTTCCACTACCCCCTGCTTATATTCCCTTTTGTGAGGCTAAGCCCCGCCTCTGGCCACGCCCCTTTAGGAACCTTCGAGAACGTTCCAGAGGCTTCCATGCTAGCTCCGCCCATTAACCTTCCCCCCAGATAGAACTCTACTACTGATAAGGCGTGGACTGTATGACAGTATGTAAAGTGTAACCCCTCAATTATGCAGGGTACGGCGCTCGCTTATTACACGTGCAGTGGAGTAACGCGCGCGGGGTTTTGCAAGCAGTGTGCACGCATGTGTGAGCTGCGGACAGTGAGGTCACACCAGGGTGAATAGGTGCTGCGAGAGAAAGCGAAGAGAGAGACGACCAATTAAGACGCATCGAAGTGATTGGCTGGCTGCAAATGCAGGCGCGGAACAGGCGCCAGGTTGGCGAGAGATTGAGGCGATAGCTGCAGAAGCCACGGGCGAGAGGCGACGGGAGGACGCCAGCTTAATTAGGGCGTTTAATGAGGAGCAGGGTAAATAGGGAACGTGTGAGGCAGAGAGGTTGAGTTGGTTGGAGTAAATACAAGAGTGAACACGAGAGAAGTCCGGGGCAACGCTGTCCACACCTCGCTCTCTCCAGCGGTCATGGCTGATCCCCCGCTGGAGGCAAGGGCGAGTTTGGAGAAGTAAGGGCAGACAAGCTAGCAGTAGAGAGACTAGCGGAATTTTAAGTGTGAGTGCGCAAAGACTAGCAGTGGAGAAGCTATCAGAGTGCATAGTGAGAGGCAAGCAGTGGAGAAGCTAGCAGAGTGTACAGTGAGAGGCTAGCAGTGGAGAAGCTAGCATAGTATATAGTGAGAGGTTATCAGTGGAGAAGCTAGCAGAGTGTATAGCCACAGGCTAGCAGTAGAGAAGCTAGCGGAGTGTATAGTGAGAGGCTAGCAGTGGAGAAGCCAGCAGAGTATATAGTGAGAGGCTAGCATTGGAGAAGCTAGCGGAGTATATAGTGAGATGCTAGCAGTGGAGAAGCCAGCAGAATGTATAGTAATAGGCTAGCAGTGGAGGGGCTAGCAGAGTGAGAGAGAGTGGAGCGAGCAGAGCGTGGTAGACAGGCTAGCAGTGGAGAGGCTAGGAGAGTGAGAGAGAGCAGGCTAGCAGTGGAGAGGCTAGGTGAGAGAGAACAGGCTAGCAGTGGAGAGGCTAGGAGAGAGAGAACAGGCTAGCAGTGGAGAGGCTAGGAGAGAGAGAACAGGCTAGCAGTGGAGAGGCTAGGAGAGTGAGAGAGAACAGGCTAGCAGTGGAGAGGCAAGGAGAGTGAGAGCAGGCTAGCAGTGGAGAGGCTAGGAGAGAGCAGGCTAGCAGTGGAGAGGCTAGGAGAGTGAGAGAGAGCAGGCTAGCAGTGGAGAGGCTAGGAGAGTGAGAGAGAGAACAGGCTAGCAGTGGAGAAGCTAGGAGAGTGAGAGAGAACAGGCTAGCAGTGGAGAGGCTAGGAGAGTGACAGAGAGAACAGGCTAGCAGTGGAGAGGCTAGGAGAGTGAGAGAGAGCAGGCTAGCAGTGGAGAGGCTAGGTGAGAGAGAACAGGCTAGCAGTGGAGAGGCTAGGAGAGAGAGAACAGGCTAGCAGTGGAGAGGGTAGGAGAGTGAGAGAGAACAGGCTAGCAGTGGAGAGGCAAGGAGAGTGAGAGCAGGCTAGCAGTGGAGAGGCTAGGAGAGAGCAGGCAGCAGTGGAGAGGCTAGGAGAGTGAGAGAGAGCAGGCTAGCAGTGGAGAGGCTTGGAGAATGAAAGGGAGCAGGCTAGCAGTGGAGAGGCTAGGAGAGTGAGAGAGAGAACAGGCTAGCAGTGGAGAGGCTAGGAGAGTGAGAGAGAGCAGGCTAGCAGTGGAGAGGCTAGGAGAGAGAGAGCAGGCTAGCAGTGGAGAGGCTAGGAGAGTGAGAGAGAGAACAGGCTAGCAGTGGAGAGGCTAGGAGAGAGAGAGAACAGGCTAGCAGTGGAGAGGCTAGGAGAGTGAGAGAGAGAACAGGCTAGCAGTGGAGAGGCTAGGAGAGTGAGAGAGAGAACAGGCTAGCAGTGGAGAGGCTAGGAGAGTGAGAGAGAACAGGCTAGCAGTGGAGAGGCAAGGAGAGTGAGAGGGAGAGCAGGCTAGCAGTGGAGAGGCTAGGAGAGTGAGAGAGCCGGCTAGCAGTGGAGAGGCTAGGAGAGAGAGAACAGGCTAGCAGTGGAGAGGGTAGGAGAGTGAGAGAGAACAGGCTAGCAGTGGAGAGGCAAGGAGAGTGAGAGCAGGCTAGCAGTGGAGAGGCTAGGAGAGAGCAGGCAGCAGTGGAGAGGCTAGGAGAGTGAGAGAGAGCAGGCTAGCAGTGGAGAGGCTTGGAGAATGAAAGGGAGCAGGCTAGCAGTGGAGAGGCTAGGAGAGTGAGAGAGAGAACAGGCTAGCAGTGGAGAGGCTAGGAGAGTGAGAGAGAGCAGGCTAGCAGTGGAGAGGCTAGGAGAGAGAGAGCAGGCTAGCAGTGGAGAGGCTAGGAGAGTGAGAGAGAGAACAGGCTAGCAGTGGAGAGGCTAGGAGAGAGAGAGAACAGGCTAGCAGTGGAGAGGCTAGGAGAGTGAGAGAGAGAACAGGCTAGCAGTGGAGAGGCTAGGAGAGTGAGAGAGAGAACAGGCTAGCAGTGGAGAGGCTAGGAGAGTGAGAGAGAACAGGCTAGCAGTGGAGAGGCAAGGAGAGTGAGAGCAGGCTAGCAGTGGAGAGGCTAGGAGAGTGAGAGAGCAGGCTAGCAGTGGAGAGGCTAGGAGAGTGAGAGAGAGCAGGCTAGCAGTGGAGAGGCTAGGAGAGTGAGAGAGAGCAAGCTAGCAGTGGAGAGGCTAGGAGAGTGAGAGAGAGACAGGCTAGCAGTGGAGAGGCTAGGAGAGTGAGAGAGAGAACAGGCTAGCAGTGGAGAGGCTAGGAGAGTGAGAGAGAGAACAGGCTAGCAGTGGAGAGGCTAGGAGAGTGAGAGAGAGCAGGCTAGCAGTGGAGAGACTAGGAGAGTGAGAGAGAGACAGGCTAGCAGTGGAGAGGCTAGGAGAGTGAGAGAGAGCAGGCTAGCAGTGGAGAGGCTAGGAGAGTGAGAGAGAGACAGGCTAGCAGTGGAGAGGCTAGGAGAGTGAGAGAGAGCAGGCTAGCAGTGGAGAGGCTAGGTGATAGAGAACAGGCTAGCAGTGGAGAGGCTAGAAGAGAGAGAACAGGCTAGCAGTGGAGAGGCTAGGAGAGTGAGAGAGAGCAGGCTAGCAGTGGAGAGGCTAGGAGAGTGAGAGAGAGACAGGCTAGCAGTGGAGAGGCTAGGAGAGTGAGAGAGTGAGAGAGAGCAGGCTAGTGGAGATACGTGGTGTTGAACGCGAGGAGTTCTGTTCTGTTTGGATAAAGTGGCACAGGAGAAAAATAAGAAGTTGTCCTCGTGAAATAAAATAGCAATTACAAATGTTTCAACATCCCCGAAGGACTGACATCTGCCGACGTCTCCCTTCCCATCTTGCTCAGCTCTCCGCAACGCACCACCCACATGGCTGCCTCCATTCTCCTGTTCGAGTCCCGGCTTAAATCTGTCCTCTTCTCCTTAGCCTATAGCTTGACAGTTGTGTTGAATACTTAATTCGGAATGTTTTTTTTATTATGAAATACTTTCAAGAGAAGATCTGAAAGGATATATAATCGTAACTGCTTTTATCAGGTACATTTTTAAATGTTAGTGTTAAATTATTGGTTGATTGCTTTACACCTTCATTTGTCCATGAAATAAATATTGCATACAAATATTGAGTCAAATTAAATAAAACGAAAACAACTTCAAACACAAGTTTTAGATAATTTTTAAATATAAGAACTATTATCTCATTGGCTAATTTAAAACATGCAGATTTCAATATTACTCGTACTCTACAACAAAGGGATAACATGAGACACATCTCAGCAGATAACGTGACCAACGGACACACTCCTGCTGTCAGCTGCATGGGTTAGGTTTCGATGAAAAGTCGGCCCATTCTTGCCAAGTTTTAAAAACGACCTGCACATTACCGAATTTGAAAGATCATGTTGCAACATCACCTCCCGCCTGGCAGACGATAGCCATTTGCAGGCTGGTGCTGCATACAACTTGTGCTGTAAAGGGATGGTTGCCACTGGGTGGTCCCCTGGGCTAGACTGCCACAGGGCATTGGAATGGTACTTTGAGATACTTAGGCATTATAAGCAAGTGCCACTATAAATGCAATTTTTGGTGTGAAATATTCATGCTCAGGAGTGCAGTGCCGCATCTCCAGACTTCACGAACATTCCTCAATGCTGTTGCGAACATTTGTCTTGTCGCAGGAAGCAGTTAAAGCCTGGATAAGCCAGAATATCAAAATGAAGGTGTGCTTCTGGTACATCGAGTCTTCGACAGCTGGGTGAGGGCACACTTTTTTGAATGTGTACATTTGTGTTCATGAAATGTGGATGGTATCTGGAATGTAGAGTACTCTATACATTTACATAGCTACAAAATGCTTATCAGATAATTGTTATGCCAGAAAGTGTCCTGTAAAATCACAGGCTATAGGTAGGGTAAAGGGTTGGAAAAAAAAGCAAACCCATAAAATGTAACTGGTATTGGCCAAACATCCACATTCTATAACCTTACACTGCAAATTCATTCATTGGGATTACAGAGCAGCAACGTCAGCCCCTGCTGCAAAAAAAAAACTTGGTAGGGCCTTCCTGGAACATAATCTTGGGTAAATGAAGTGTTATCAGTGGCGTTGGGCTGCACACACAAGTCTCTGCTTGTATTGTTGTTGTGAACCACCCATCCAGGTATAAATGTATCCTCTACCTGCACAGGTGAACCGCACTGCCTGAGCATGGTGTTGTAATTGTGCTTGCACAATAATTAAGAATGAGCTCTATGTTACGTGAGTGTATCCATATGTGATAATGTATCGTGATCAGCAATTTTAAAAGCACACTCACAGTCCAGTGCACTCACAACCAGTCCCAACTCCTCTCGGATGGGGGGGGGGGGGTGCAGAAGAGCATTTGAACCTCATGGCGGTACGCCGGGGTACCATAGTACCCCGGCTCTCGCATAATGTGATGATGGTCGGCGATGCGGCAATCGACTCATCTCGACGAGTTGTGCACGATGCACCACTACGGTGCGTACGAGCGTTCAGGGCTTCAGCGCAATTGTCCTCGCTGCGTTTTGACATCGTGGAGTAGCACTGATTTCGGATTGATTGGTACCCCAGTTGCGGAGTTAAGTGTGACCCCTGGAAAATTGTGTCCCAGAAATAAAATATTTCATTGCCTCGGCCAGTTTGTATTATTTGGTACCCCGGGGTACCGCCATAAGGTTAATTTGTATGGGGGGTCACCCTAACAATAATGACAACTTCTATCGCACCTTAACATGGCAAGCCATTATAAGGGCATTGGAAATATATACGGGTAAGTCCTCGCTTAACGTGTGGTATTCACACAACCCGTTTTCGTGACAGTGGTTCTTCTATTCGGGAACACTTCGCACTATTCAGGAACGCATCTACCTTATTAAGCGAGGAATTCCCGTATGTACACCGCTCAGGAGGGTGCACTATAGTGCTAGTGGTGCTAAAGGGACTTTTGATTGTACAGGGCCTACGCCATTGCCCCCCTAGTACCAGGCCAGCCTACAATCCATTATGCCCGTCCCCACGTGGTTATTTCTCGTGCGGAATGCCGAGATATGATTGTGTTATGCCGACGAACTGTCAATGGCTCTATTAGATGGGTTAGGCTTCCTGTGTGACCCCCTTAAACTGCGGAATTTAATGCCTGGGCGGTGCCGCTCGCAGGGTGTGTGAGTGCAGGCACCCGCGCTCTGAGCATGCCAACACCGCACTGCTCAAGCCCACTCTGCTGGGACAGAAGTGGGAGCCCGCCAAGCACACTGCGAACGAGCCCACCAACGCGTTCGGAGACATCCAATTCACCGGCCTTGGCCAGAGGCTTGGCAAAGTGAGTCCAGCGCAGCACGTGGGCAGGCACTTGGTCATCCCAGCCGAGGGACTCAAGGGGGAGATCCAGCACGGAATGGCTCTCGTGTTGTGGAGAGATGCACGCCGTGGCCATGTCAGGCTGCCTGACAAATGTTCAGCTGGGGTAATGAACAAAAAAACCCTGTACATTTATAAAGTGCACATAATATATAGTTGTTATGTTTCCAAATTAAACTGTTTTGAATGGACCGTAGTGTGTCATTCGATTAATTTGGTTTCTAATTATTCTCACACACTTTTCCCTTCCATCCGCATCCCGGCCATCATCATCGTCCCTGCCGTGCTTACGGTGGTGGCGCCATAAGAGATGTTCTAAGCTTCATTGTTAAACATCACAGCACAAAGCACCGTCCATGTGGGGTCGTAGAGGTCAAGGCAGAGCCGAGCCAAACCGTGGTAGAGAATGCCGCGCTAACAGTGAATATACGAGTGCTGTGGAGGCTTTCATCTGCGTGACTGTCACCCGCACAGCTGTAGGCATGTGAAGTCAATCGACAGTGTTTCTAGCTTTGGAAGGGCAGCGTCACGTTATATCCGGCAGGAATGAATAGCACCCTAATTAGTGCTGCGTAAAATAAATGGTGATTCTCAAAAAATAACAGTGTTTGGAAAATAACTTTTTATTTCAGCAGCGCAAACGATTTCGCAGACGTGCCATGAAAACCAACTACGGTAATTGGTAATTCAGAAACACTGTTTTGTATATTCCATGTCCGTGCATTATATTACAATGTGGTAATTATGGGTGTAATGCTGCAATCGGGTCATATTGATTTTCAAGGCTTGCTATGCATGCATTGAATCGCATGTGCAAAGCACGTAACTTATACAAGTATGAACACAAGATGCGAATGTTACATTTAGGCCATTATGAGCAACGAAACTCTGCAAACGAGACAGTAACGTGAGAAACAAATCCTAGATTGGTAGCAACTGCACTGGGGGATGTGTCGATTTGGTCGCGAATCGTTAATATTACCCATAACGGTGATGCGCGATCTTCCATTGTACCGTCCACAGCAAGGTTTCCCTGTAACAAGTAGCTGAGCTTCCCTCAAGGGACCCAAGCTTGATTGAAAACTAATTTATTTAGAACTGATTTTTGCGTATAGTTTGTTGTCCTTCCGTACCACCGATTAGCTTGGCTCACTACGTACGAGTTTGCGTGGCTCTCTCCCTGTGGTCGCGTGGATTTTTCTCTGGGTTCTCTGGTTTTTCCCTGCACGTTTAGAATAAACATCACGCGTTTAGAGTGTTTGACTGCTGTACATTTCCACGTGATAAACCACTTCGTTTTTGTGTCCAGGTTGGTTCTGAAAAAGAGTTATATAGCTCAGTGGGCCTTACGTGATAAAATATGTCTAGTTTGTTCACATAGACGTTGTGCTAAAAGGTTTGCATGCTGTGTTGATTGAGGGGGCAGCATTGCAGCACCTTTGCTGCACTAGGCACGCCCATGTTGTTTCACTTGCCCGTTGCGTCACACGTCACCTTGGGTACCGCGTTGACGCTGGATCAGCTTCTGTCAGGTGAGATGGCTCGGTCAACAATCCCTGCTGCTCCCCATTGTGGTGGCAGCGTTAATGCCGAGCATGGTGGAGTGCCCCTGTAACCAACCGAGCGCTTTGGAAGCAACGGTTGATTTCCTCAACCAGTTAAGACTTCAAACCTGCTGGGTTCGGTGGGCAGCAGGGTGGCGCAGTAATAATGCTCCTGCCTCGTAGGAAGAAGGGCATGGGTTTGATTCCTAACTTGGGCACCTTTCTGTGTGGAGTTGGTATGTTCTCCCCCTGTTCTGCATGGATTTTCTCCGGGTTTTCCGGTTTCCTCCCGTGGATTATAAAACACGATGTAACTGGTAATGGCCAAACATCTCACTGCTGAAAAAGTACTTGCACATCACACAATAGGGATTACACGCAGCGGCAGCAGCATCGCCCCCTACTCTAAAAAAACTTGGCTGGACCATTCTGAAAAAATAACTCAGTGAGGCTTTCCTGCATTGTAAACAATTATCATAATTATAATATCAACAATAACAACAATAAAATAATGACTGCAGGCCATGGTGCGCTTTGTAATACATTTCCTGTGCACAGTATTTCTTTACGGTTTACTTGAAACAATATTTGGCACAAAGGTCACGTCAGAAAAAAAGTAGACTTCAGTGATACTTTAATAAACAAAGTTATATTTGTAAGGCGCATTTCATTGGTAAATCTCAATGCGCCCCATGTATGGAAAGCAGGAAACAAACAGAACCTGCAGGGTAAAGGGCCAGAACTAGGGGGTAAAGGCCAGTTTAAAGAGATGAGTTTTCAAGACAGATTGAAATATAGCTAACGACTGATTGTCTTATGAGCAAAGACATAGAGTTCCAAAGCTTGGGGGCTGCACTGGCAAAAGCCCGATCAGCCCAGGAAATTAGATTTGACCTCAGAGTACTGAGAAGAAGGCGATCTGAAGATCTCAAGGAACTCGTTGGTGTTTGAACATGGATGAGTTCATGTAAATATTGCGGAGCTAACCCAAGATGTGAAATACCTTACCTGCTATACAGGAGTTCGTGAGTTTGATCCCGACCCCGACGCCTGTATATTTGGAGTTTGCGTGTGTCTCTCACCCGTGGTTGTGTTGATTTTTTTTCCAGTTCCTCTGGTGTTTCCCTCCAAATTTAGAATCATGTGTCTCGAGTATTTAGCTGCAACGCATTTTCACATCATAAGCCACTTCGTTGAGCTCTCATTTCTGGCCAGGTCGCTTCTGAAAAATAGCTATACAGCTCAGTGGGCCTTACCTGGTAACATTTAAATAGTTTTCATAGTTTATAGTTTTAGAAGTGCTGCTGTCGATGCCCGTGAGTGTGTTCCTCGAGATTCCGTTGGGGCTCAGTTTGTGCGCGTAGGCAACGACACGGAGCCCAGCGTGCTCTTCAAGCTGATGATGGAGCACTGGCACCTGGACGTGCCCAACCTGCTCATCTCGGTCACGGGCGGGGCCAAGAACTTCCACCTGAAGCCCCAACTGAGAACCATATTTCGCCACGGCCTCAACAAGACCGCACGCAGCACAGGTGATCACGACTGGGCGTCGTGCACCATAGAGCCACCCGGGGTTGGTGGATGACTGCACAAATACTGATGGTTCGCCGGGAGAAGGCAGTACAGCAAGTGGACTGTTCGCCATCTGTATTCCATATGTACGGTGATCAAGTGTTGCCCCCTCGCTCAAGACGTGGGTTGTCTCCGGGTGCTCCAGTTTTACCCTTTCTGGCAATAATTAATTGGCTGAAAACTTCTTAAAATAAAAAAACAATGTTGGACCTTCCTGAGAAAGAGAGCCCTACAACTCAGTGTGGTTTTCCTGGATAAATAAGTAACATACATCACATCTAATCACATCTAATCTTAAACGCTTGAAAGGGCCCCTCCAGAGGCAGCTGCCCCTACATGGCACAAGGTGACCCAGCACCTGTCCTGCAAGTGGGCACCAGTCTGCCAGCAGGGAGGGGCGATGATTGTTGCTTTGTGTTCAATGTAGCAGCTGTGATGTTATTCTAAAGAGTAGGCCATGGTTGGTCTGGCTTCATTTTGGCCAAATTTGGAAACATACCCACAAATTACTCAATTGGGATTACACACATAGCAATACTGATACCCCCACTGTGAAAAAATACTCGGCAGGACCCTGCTGAAAAACAGTCATGAGACTCATTGAGGCTTTCCTTGGTAAACGAGCAGAATAAAAACTGTGAATAAACGTTCTTTACGAGAAACAGCCTGGTAGGTATTTAACTGTCTGTACCATACGTGCTGCTGTGTGTGCGTATTTTCTACAATATAACATGGGGAGCGGTAGTGTAGCGGTTAGCGCGCCGTGCTTCGAACCCGGCAACCCGAGTTCGATTCCTGCTCACGGCCAACACCGGTGACGATTATCTGAACCGGTCTTGGGCCTCCCCTTAGGTCGACTCAAGCTTAAATGAGTACCTGGTGCGGTGTGTATACATTGCCACTAGGGAGACAAAGGCGGCTGGGTGTGGTGCTAGACACCCACCCCGTCGTGTGTAGTGCCGGCCTTCATAGGTGCTCGCTAACAGCACTTGCCCTGACAGTCTCTTAAGGCTATACGGGGGATCTGTGTTTGTGTGAGTGTGTAAAATGTGTGTATTTTGTTGGTATTCAAGGGGCGTGGATAATCACGGGTGGCTCCTACGCCGGCGTGATGAAGTACGTGGGCGAGTCGGTGAGGGATTTCGCCTTGGCCAGTGGCTCCAAGGAGGGCAAGATCGTGGCGATTGGCATAGCAACCTGGGGCATCATTCACAACAAGGAGCACCTCATAGACGCGCAGGTTCGCAATTGGGAGATTATAGGAAATGACACTGCTCGTGATTGAATTGGGATTACATTCTGCAACGCTGCCTCCTGCTGTGCAACTACTACAGACCGTGTCTGTGGAATGCAGCGCTTTCCTGAGTGATACCCCTGCCCGGTAAGGACAGCGAGAATACCAAATGCAATCAATAAATGCTACTAATTTTCTTACATCGTTTAAATATGGTTGGTATGCATAAATGGCAAGTGTTTGAAAACTAATAAAATGTTGGACATTTTCTAAAACTATTATCATTAATAAAACTGGAGAGCATCCTGCACAACATGCATTGCTTTTTCAGGAATTGCATTGCTGTACTATTAAATATCTCGAATTCCAAATGTAATTGATTATATTCTTGCATAAGATGCCAATACATTCAGTTGCTAACTGCCAATGTAAAAAGTCTACTGGCCGTGAAGAGAGGGCATCAGATGAGAGAATTTGTATAGTTTTGCTGTTCCATCTCCTCTGTTGAAAGAGCGCAGACCACAGTGGATTTGGCTGTATGGTCTATAGTTTGGGTTGCATGGGCACAGTTACGCTAATGCGGCTCTATGGGTTTAATATATAATTCAAGTTTGGGGTGGATGACCACAACCGCACTACTGTGGCTTGTGTCTTTAATTTTCCAACCATGAAGGAGATGTGTGCATCGGCCTATTGATGTTATAAATGCGATTGATGGCTCCAGCAGTGTCTTTGAGAAGGAGGAACCTCAAAGCATGGAGGTGCAATGATGTTTGGGTCTCTCATGAGGCGTTTATTCCGGACGTCCGCGTCGTTCCACCCTAGTTTGCACAGCACCGTTCATGCGATCGGCAATTATTGCCGATCGCATGAATGCTGCTTTGATTGTTTTTGCCGTGCGTGCATTGGCAGGGCAAGTTTCCGGCAGAGTATCCCATGGACGAGGCTGGCCAGGGGCGACTCTCCTGCCTGGACAACAACCATTCTCACTTCATCCTGGTGGACAACGGCACGCACGGCCAGTACGGCGTGGAGATCGTGCTGCGCGCCCGGCTCGAGCAGTACATCTCCACGCAGCACACGGGAAGCGGCGGTGAGTGCCGCAGCAGCAAAGCAGTGGGCGTTAGAGGCAATTGTGCGGCACGGTTATGGGATATGTGTGTCCGTGTCAGACATTGTGGCAAAATCGTATTAATAATAATTTAGCACATTCGCTGTTCACGTTATTCTTACAGTGCAAGCCTATCACTGAGGAAGACTTGCCAGTGTTTCACAGACTTAGTATGCAGTTGTTTTTTCAGTAGGCGGGGGGAGGGGGGGGGGGCATGTTGCTGCTGCGTAATCCCAGTTGAGTAACTTGCGGTGTAATTTTTCAGATTTGGCAAATTTGGACAGTGATGCTGGTGCACAGTGGCCCGCTCGTTTCAAGTAACGTCACAGAATTTGTATCGTCCACGTAGTTTACGGTTAGCACACACCACAGTATTAACCAGGGCGGCCTGCCAGATTCCAACCGTAAACATCTGCAACAAGCGGCGGGCGTGCTACAGCTGGACCGTGTCACTGCCCCCACCTTCTCCTTCCACCCCAAGGCTGCCGTTGAAGGCACAAGGGAAACGTTTCACTTAGATGTTTGGACGTAAAAATGTGACCGTATATTCGTCCATCTCTGAGTGACCAACTCCACTGTATGAGGAGCCTTTGAGGTCACCGTTCCCGCAGTGCGCTATCCTTTCCTCGGCCCTGTAGCCTTTACCCCCCCCCCCCCTCACTTTCACTCCCCAGTGAAATTCTGAAATCCTATTAAAGCCCTCTTCACCATCACTCATTCCCTTCCTCTTCCCTCCCCTCAGCCCTCCACTCCATCTCGTCCCTCCCCTATAGCCATTTCATAACCCTGCCATCTAAATCACTCGATTTTTTTTAACCCCTTCTAAACCATGTAAAGTGCTTTGAGCTAAGGTGTTCTATAAATAAGATAAGAATGCCCACTCATTTGTACAGATTCCTGAGATGTGAACGCATTTATATTACTTATTAATCTACATTGCATTGTGTCAAAAATACCCTCAGCTATTATTAAAACTACAAAATATATTAAACGCAGAAGCTGCAAATATTAATCAACAATCAAACATAACCTACACCCTAAACGTCACATTCTCATCGCTCACTCACTGTCACGACGACACTCCACGTGGATCCGCTTCCTGCCAGGCAGCCCCTACGCACATTGTACAGTCGTCTGCTCGCAATCGATGCAGTGCTTTGCGATGTTTTTGCTCGCCGTGTGTGCGCTGCGTGAATTTACAATGAGAGCACGTCAGACCCCTGCTCCCGCTGCAAGCAATTGATGCCGTTAAATTGTTTATTTTTTGTAACATCCATTAATGAGCTCGTGGGGTATTTTACGATTTCTCACATTTGTGTTATTGTGTCCCGCGTCTTGTGAATACACAAATCCTGATTGTGTTTTTCACATGTTATTCATGATTGTATGTTCTTTCATCATGTTGTGAGTGTACATTTTTGCTCCACATCTTCGTGTGCAATTGTATCCAGGAGTTGCCGTATGATGTTATTCAGCTTTGTGAATTAAGGCACGATTGCATCTGAATGAGTTTGTGTCCTTGGTGACAAATGAACAACTCACGTGAGCTGCTGATGAGAACCGACAGTCAGTTGACTGGCTACACTGCTATCTCGCCCCCACTTACCGCCTCATTGTCTTCACCTGCCAGAGTTGACAACGCACAAAGGCCAGCAACATTGCATGTACAAAAGCTCTCTGGCTTATCTAGTCCACCAACTTCAAAGACGATACACTCCGCAGCTCCTAACGCAGTTGTCTGGCTTGACCACCTGAATTTGAAATCGTGTTGTAATTTAGACCACCGACTCAATCAATGAGTTGAGAAGATGTGGCCCGTCCCAACGTACAGCACTGAAACAAACACATGACTATGGACACGATTTGCCATCATTAGGACTCATCAGTAGAGTACAGTTGTATGATGTCCGCAGCTTTAATCTGTCTCTGGGAGCCCCCCTATATGGAGAGGGCTGTAACCTTTACACCGTGGGCACCCGTTAGCACTTGCCTAATGGCACCAGTCATGCAAATCTGTAAACGATGAGAAAACCAGAGAATAGGTGCGCAATTTTCATACTCTTTGAGCTGGTGGTCTGAGACGACAAATGAGCACACATGCAGTTCTCTGAGAGCTTTTTGAGCATGCAATGCACGTGCTTGTGTGCCGTTGCATCCATTTGTTTCCCCAGCCGGCACTAATTGTTCCTCCGTTTTGCCACAGGTGTGGGGAGTGTTCAGATCCCTATCGTGTGTCTGGTGCTGGAGGGTGGCGTGGGCACCCTGGACGTAAGCGCCTGTCACATCAGCTGTCACCACATTTATCTTATTTTAGATGTATAGAGCATCTTAGCTCAAGGTGCTTTACAGAGCTTAAAAGCAGTAACAAACACATAGACCGCAGGGGTGTGCAAGGAGAAGAGGTGACGCTTTCAGACAGGAGCAGAAGGAGCTTGAGGAGGGGGACTGCTTAAATTTACAGGGGAAGTTTATAAAAGCAAATCACTACAGCAATGACAGATATCATATAGAGGAAGAACAACATATGAGAAAAAAAATAATATGTAAACATAAATCAAAGTTGAATAATAAATAGAATGTAACTTAATGGTGTGGATCTAACGTGCATATTATCATCCGCCTATAGTTATTCCTCATTTAACGGGGTAGATGCGTTCCTGAAAGTGCCGCGTTTTTAAGCCAAACAAATTTCCCCATAAATAAAGGAACGATAAAGTATGGCGAGATATAATGTACACACACGCAGTGAGATGACGGGACAATTGAGGGTATACCGCCACATTACTGTATCATTCCGCGTACAATATCACTATGCCGCTCAGAGGCGCAGCTCAAGAAAGGAGTTCATCATCAACCGCTCAGAAACCGCGTTATAACGATGCGCGTTTCGCGTTATAACTGGGCACATTCCATGCTATAACGAATGGAAGAACCGCGTTATAGCAAAAACGCGTTATAGTGTGACCACTGCGCGATAAGCAAGAACCTGGCGTATATCTAATTGTGTGACAGCAGCCGGTACGGCAGGATCGTGATGTGGAATTGCCACCGAAATGAATAGGCTTTTTCTTCCACGCAGACGATGTTCAATGCGATGAACAACAACACGCCGTGCGTGGTGATGGAGGGCTCGGGGAGGGTGGCCGACGTCATCGCAAGCGTGGCCGCGCTGCCTCCCGCCAGCATCACCCTCGCCGTCATCCGCGAGCAGCTGCACAACTTCCTGGGCAAGGAGGCAGAGTCCTTCTCGGAGGCTCGCATTGCAGAGTTGACCTCGAAGGTGGCCCCTCTCTCCCTCCCACCCAACTCCTGCCTGACTATCGATGCACTGGTAGTCGTTACGTGCCGAGTCAGTTTCAGTTTCATTTATTTGGTATAGCCCTGTGAGCCATTCGGCTCTTGAATCGGGTGCAACTGCAACAAACAAAAACATGAACAAGAAACATCTTAAAGTGACAAGAAACATCTTAAAGTGACTACGCACAAACAGAAAAATCCAGGAAAAAACAGCAAAGTCTTCCAGAAAAAGCACCGTATATCAATGGCGTGTACAAAAATCCCAGTGGGATGCAAGTGAAACAATAACAACCATAAGACAATTTAGATTAAAGTTATTAGTCTAACTCTGTACTACAACAAACAAATATGGCTAAACCAAAAGTTTTCGAAATCACCATAATAAGTCTGCATGCTGCAGGACGTTTTGTGCACTGTGTGGCGCAAAGGAATGTTATTGTGTATTTGAATGGGAGGCGGCACATTATTTCTGTTGGCATTCCAGGTAATTGCATGAAGACTCGGTGTGTGTGTGTGCGCGCCGTGTGTTTAGATTCAGGACATTGTGAACATGAGTCATCTGCTCACTGTGTTTGATGACAAGGAGGGTGGACCGGGCATCGATGTGGCAATCCTCAAGGCTTTACTCAAGGGTGAGTGCGATGCCTCACCCACAATGCACAAGCCTCATCCTTTCCTACCCCTCAACCATACCCTCCAATATCGTCTTCTTCCATACGGATGATGTAGATGCAGAGCAACAACTACAATTTCACATTCAAGCCAGACAACCGCATCAGGAGTAGAGGAGTGTATCACTGCGATCTCTCCTTCGTATTTGTGGATCGGGCATTGCGTCGTTATATGTTGTACGGAAGATGGCAGGCTTCATACGACCCACTCTGTTAAGTGAGAAATCATGATGAATGCCATCAACGCGGTGACCAAACATCGATCGTCGATCTCTCCCGGTCTCCGGAGCAACAACAACACAAGCCTCCATAACTACCTCATCGCAACCACCGCCTTCTCGCTATCCCCCATCCCTAGTACTTTTCGGTTGTTACTTTGCTTCTTTACCCAGCAGCAGCCTCCAGACTTTTTTTTCAGGATGGTCCTGCCAAGGTTTTCACCGTAGAGGGCGATACGACAGATACGTGGGGTTAAGGCAGGGGTCGGGAACCTATGGCTCGCGAGCCAGATGTGGCTCTTTTGATGATTGCATATGGCTCGCAGATAAAACAAAATATTCTCACTTGTTTTAATCCATCCATCGATTTTTCACTGCGCATGTCCTGTTCAGGGCTGCAGGAGCAATTGTCCATTATTTTAATTGGATGATACTGGCCTACGTTTGCCGTTGCTGGGTAAAACAGGTAAACGCCCCCTTTTGAATCAGTCTGAGACTGCGTCTGCTCGGTCATTAGCTCAAAGCTAACCCTTCGACGAAGAAGATGGCGAAAAGAAAAAAAGACGACGAGTATCGTACATTTCAGGACGAATGGACCGAAGAATTCGCCTTTGTGGAGAGAGCGGGTTCTGCGGTGTGTCTAATTTGCAATGACAAAATTACATCGTTGAAACGGTCGAATGTAAAGCGGCACTTCAACACGCGCCACGCTACCTTTGCATCAAAATACCCTGCGGGAGACAGCAGAAAGAAAGCGTGCCAAGAGCTTCTGAGCAGGGTGCAAGCTAGCCAGCAGCAACTCCGCGTATGGACCCAGCAAGGTGACTATAATTCGGCTAGCTTTGCTGGTTCTTTAGCAATAGTGAGGAACGGAAAACCATTCACAGATGGCGAGTATGCTAAAACGTTCATGCTGTATGTAGCCAATGAACTTTTTGATGATCTTCCGAACAAAGACAAGATAATCAAACGGATACAAGACATGCCTCTGTCGGCAAGAACTGTTCATGATCGTACCATCGTGATGGCAAACAAAGTGGAGGAAACGCAAGTGAAGGACATAAATGCAGCGCCGTTCTTTTCTCTGGCTTTGGATGAGTCAACAGACGTGAGCCATTTGTCGCAGTTCAGCGTGATTGCAAGATATGCTGTTGGTGACACACTGCGCGAAGAAAGTCTTGCTGTTCTGCCATTAAAAGGGTCCACAAGAGGTGAGGATTTATTCAAGTCTTTCATGGAGTTTGCTCAAGAAAAAAGTCTACCTATGGATAAACTTCTCTCAGTGTGTACTGATGGTGCTCCGTGTATGGTGGGGAAAAACAAAGGATTTGTGGCGCTTCTCCGTGAACATGAAAATAGACCCATCCTAAGTTTCCATTGCATTATACACCAGGAGGCACTTTGTGCTCAGATGTGTGACAGGCAGTTTGGCGAAGTGATGTCGCTGGTCATTCGTGTGATCAACTTTATTGTTGCCCGAGCCTTAAATGATCGCCAGTTTAAAACACTGCTGGATGAAGTTGTAAATAACTATCCTGGTCTGCTTTTGCACAGCAATGTGCGTTGGTTGTCAAGAGGGAAGGTGCTTAGCCGTTTTGCGGCTTGCCTGAACGAAATCCGGACTTTCCTTGAAATGAAAGGCGTCGGGCATCCTGAGCTAGCCGACACCGAGTGGCTCCTCAAGTTTTACTATCTCGTAGATCTGACTGAACATCTGAACCAGCTCAACGTGAAAATGCAAGGCATTGGAAATACAGTGTTATCCCTTCAACAAGCTGTATTTGCTTTTGAAAACAAGCTGGAGCTTTTCATCACGGATCTTGAAACAGGTCGTTTACTACATTTTGAAAAACTGAGCCAATTTAAAGATGCATGCACAGCAAGTGAGCCCATTCAAAACCTTGATCTCCACCAGCTAGCTGGCTGCACATCCAGTCTCCTACAGTCCTTCAAAGCACGCTTTGGAGAATTTCGTGAGCACACTCGTCTTTTTAAGTTCATCACCCATCCAAACGAGTGTTCACTGAACACAGCCGACCTGAATTACATCCCTGGTGTCTCCGTCAGAGATTTTGAAGCAGAAGTGGCTGACCTGAAGGCCTCAGACATGTGGGTGAATAAGTTCAAGTCACTGAATGAAGATTTGGAAAGAATCACACGACAGAAAGCGGAGTTGGCGAGCAAGCACATGTGGACAGAAATGAAAAAAACTCCAACCCGAAGACCAGCTGATTCTCAAAACTTGGAACGCACTTCCTGTCACATACCACACACTGCAGCGTGTGAGTATTGCTGTATTGACCATGTTTGGATCTACGTATGCATGTGAGCAGTCATTCTCACATCTTAAAAACATCAAGTCCAACCTACGATCACGTTTAACGGATGAAAGCCTCAACGCTTGCATGAAGCTTAACCTCACCAAGTACCAACCCGACTACAAAGACATCAGCAAATCCATGCAGCACCAGAAGTCGCATTAATGGTGAGTGTTATAACATTATTTAAAAGAATAAATTCAGAGGCTTATTATACTGACATTTAGTTGAATTCACTTTTAAAATATATTATATGGCTCTCACTGAAATAAATTTCCAAATTTTTTGCTTTCATGGCTCTCTTAGTCAAAAAGGTTCCCGACCCCTGGGTTAAGGTGACGCTGCTGATGCCGTGCCACTCATCAGCTGTGCTATGAAGAAGGGCCGCTGTCCGAAACGTTACCAATTGTGTACAAGCAGACCTCGCTTAGCGCTCGCAATGCATTCCTGGAGAGGTGAGCGTGAATCGAATCAGCATTGAAAACGGTCGTTATACCATTGTATACATTCAAGTTTCAAGTTTCATTTATTAGGTATAGCCCTGTGAGCCATGTGGCTCTTGAGTCGGGTGCAACCGCAACAAACAAAATATGAACAGAGAACATCTAAAAGCGACGACGTGCAAGAGAAACATCCTGGATAAACCAGCAAATCTTCCATAAAAAAACCACTGTATTACAACTCTGTGTGCAAAAATCCCAGTGTGATGCAAGACAAACAATAACAACCATAAGACAATTTAGATTCAAGTTATCAGGCCAACTCCGCACTTCCGCAAGAAACGTGGCTTAACCATATTTTAGAAATCACCAAAATGAAGCAATAAAATACAATGTAACAACAGTAATCATAGGAACTTTGATTCAAATTTAACAATAAACAATATACATAACATGTATGAACAAACTTGCAGCCATATCTGTCACAATGACACTCCCCGTGTATGATGTGTGAGTGAGTCAATGGTAGTGAGTGTATGATGTGTGAGTGATTCAATGGTAGTGAGTGTATGATGTGTGAGTCAGCGTATGATAAGTGAGTCAGTGTATGATGTGTGAGTCAGTGGTAGTGTGAGTGTATGATGTGTGTGAGTCAGCGTATTATGAGTGAGTGTATGATGAGTGAATCATTGTATGATGAGTGAATGAGTCAGTGGTTGTGTGAGTGTATGATGTGTGAGTGAGTCAGTGTATGATGTCAATGGTAGTGAGTGTATGATGTGTGAGTGAGTCAATGGTAGTGAGTGTAAGATGAGTGAGTGAGTCAATGTTAGTGAGTGTATGATGTGTGAGTGAGTCAATGGTAGTGAGAGTATGATGAGTGAGTGAGTCAATGGTAGTGAGAGTATGATGAGTGAGTGAGTCAATGGTAGTGAGTGTATGATGTGTGAGTCAATGGTAGTGAGTGTATGATGTGTGAGTGAGTCAATGTTAGTGAGTGTATGATGTGTGAGTGAGTCAATGTTAGTGAGTATGATGTGTGAGTGAGTCAATGGTAGTGAGTGTAAGATGAGTGAGTGAGTCAATGGTAGTGAGTGTATGATGTGTGAGTGAGTCAATGTTAGTGAGTGTATGATGTGTGAGTGAGTCAATGGTAGTGAGTGTATGATGTGTGAGTGAGTCAATGTTAGTGAGTGTATGATGTGTGAGTGAGTCAATGGTAGTGAGTGTGAGATGTGTGAGTGAGTCAATGTTAGTGAGTGTATGATGTGTGAGTGAGTCAATGGTAGTGAGTGTAAGATGAGTGAGTGAGTCAATGGTAGTGAGTGTATGATGTGTGAGTGAGTCAATGGTAGTGAGTGTATGATGTGTGAGTGAGTCAATGGTAGTGAGAGTAAGATGTGTGAGTGAGTCAATGGTAGTGAGAGTATGATGTGTGAGTCAATGGTAGTGAGTGTATGATGTGTGAGTGAGTCAATGGTAGTGAGAGTATGATGTGTGAGTGAGTCAATGGTAGTGAGTGTATGATGAGTGAGTCAATGGTAGTGAGAGTAAGATGTGTGAGTGAGTCAATGGTAGTGAGTGTATGATGTGTGAGTGAGTCAATGTTAGTGAGTGTATGATGTGTGAGTGAGTCAATGTTAGTGAGTATGATGTGTGAGTGAGTCAATGGTAGTGAGTGTAAGATGAGTGAGTGAGTCAATGGTAGTGAGTGTATGATGTGTGAGTGAGTCAATGTTAGTGAGTGTATGATGTGTGAGTGAGTCAATGGTAGTGAGTGTATGATGTGTGAGTGAGTCAATGTTAGTGAGTGTATGATGTGTGAGTGAGTCAATGGTAGTGAGTGTGAGATGTGTGAGTGAGTCAATGTTAGTGAGTGTATGATGTGTGAGTGAGTCAATGGTAGTGAGTGTAAGATGAGTGAGTGAGTCAATGGTAGTGTGTGTATGATGTGTGAGTGAGTCAATGGTAGTGAGTGTATGATG